TCACAGAATTCGGCTGTTTTTTATTTACTGCGGGAGTATAAAGTGTCTGGGTTGCTGTTAGAAGCTATCCAGTCCTTGTATACCATACCATACCACTTTATTTATAAAGCACTTAAAACAGCTACAAAGCCAACCAAAGTGCTGTACAGACAGAACAACAGGTAACACGCAAAGCAAAATACAAAATGAGGTAAATCAAAATATAGACAAATAACGATGCAGATAATGACGACAAACCAGTGTGGAGCATACAGGTTCAAAACACAGATCATCTTGTGCTGAAAGCTACTGAATAGTAGTGAGTTTTTAAACGGGACTTGAAAACCGAGAGGGAGGGGGCCTGTCTGACAAGCAGAGGTAACTCGTTCCAAAGTCTTGGTCCTGCTACAGAGAAGGCCCTGTCACCTCTGCGCTTAAGACGAGTTCCTGGAACTGTGAGGAGCAACTGGTCCGCTGACCTCAGGGAGCGTGGTGGGACATACGGTTGTAGCAGATCAGAGAGATGGGGGGGTGCGACACTGTTCAGTGATTTGTAGACATACATGAGTATTTTGTATTGGATTCGAAAGTGAATCGGTAACCAGTGCAGTGAGGCCAAAACTGGTGTAATGTGCTCTCTTTTGCCTGTACTGGTTAAAAATCGGGCTGCTGCATTCTGGACCAGTTGCAGTCGTGCAATGGAGGTCTGACTGATACCGAACAGGAGTGAATTGCAGTAATCAAGCCTAGATGTAATGAATGCATGTATTACTGTCTCCAGGTTCTTTTTGGACAGTATGGGCTTCAGTTTAGACAGCCGCCTCAGTTGGAAGAAACATGATTTAACAATCATGTTTACATGATTGTTAAGCTTCAGGGAAGGGTCCATTATCACGCCCAGATTAGTGACTCTTTGTTTTTCTTTGTATAACCAAAGCAGGAGCTGTGTCTGCATTCTTGGCTCAAAGTCAAGCTCGTTCCCAGTCAAAGTGGATTTTGTTCCCAGTGCGGGTTGGATTCTGCCAGGGTTGTCCCTGGTCTCTTATCTTGTTTGTGGTGTTCATGGACAGGATCTTGATATGTGGCTTGGGAGAGGGGGGGTGTCTGGTCTGGGAACCTCAGGGTCTCTTCTCTGTTTTATGCGGATGATGTGCTTCTGTTGGCATCTTCAGGCCAAGTCCTTCAGTGTGCACTGGGGTGGTTCACATCATAGGGTAAAGCGGCTGTAATAAGAGTCAGTTCCTCTTGTCTTCAGGTCAGGGGGAGGGATTTTGCCTCAGGGGGAGGAGTTCATGTGTCTGGGCGCCTTGTTTACAAATGATGGTATGATGGAGTGGGAGATAGATTGACGGATTGGGCCTTGTTCTCAGTAATGATGGCATTGCTTCGATCTGTTGTGGTGAAGAAAGAGCTGAGTCGAAAGGCAAAACTTACAATTTACTGGTCTGTGTAACTTTCAACTCACACCCATGGTAATGAGGTTTGGATCATGACCAAAAGAACAAGATCCTAGATACCTTTATTTGTACAGGTTAGACTCAATGAGACTAATCTGTATAGATCAAGTCCAAAAAAGTTCAATCTGGTCCTCTGGACATTCAAAAAAAAAAAAAAAAAAGCAAAAAAATATAGAAACGTTTCGTCTCTCATCCAAGAGACTTCCTCAGTCTGAGGTGCTGTTTTCAGCTCAGTCTCTTAAATAGCACCTTCTCAGAATGGATCAACCAGTTTGCTGCTGACATCCAGAACCAGCTGATCACATGGTCAAGAAGGACCATCAGCCTAACAA